AATTACAGATTAGGTTATTGTCAAGAGTAATGTCTAAAAATGGTCTCATGACCGGCGGTATGTCATTGTGGCGTTAACCGTATCATGTAGAGACCAAAATCGAAGTCGTTTCGCTTGGAGTCATCCAGGACGCTATAGTGCCAGAGGGTGATACCATTCGGAATGATACATGAGGCGGAGGTGGTGTAGTGACAAGTGGCGCGCTTACCACTCGCGCGGTCTAGGGTTCGAATCCCAGGTCGACTCCCGCCCAGGCCAACCAAGCCTTCTACCTCGGCGGGTGAACTGGTACCCGATTCGTATGGGAGGATAAGAACAGTCTTGTACATCGGCTGGCCTCCACTCGTCATTGTAGCCACTACGATTCTGAATGGAAGTAGAATGCGTGCCGCATCCCACAAAGGGATTGATCAACGGCGAAGACTTTATCCTTCATCCTTTTAATGTCTGAGAACACACTAAATAGCGCTTCTAGAGAGTATGTGCAGCTCAGTTGTATTATGCATGAACGTAGCGATGTCTCATTGACTTGGTGTCGCACATGCTGCATGGCTGTTGGGTGCAATAGCTGTATGGAAATTGCTACTGTACTTTGAGTTTTGCACATTTGTAATAAAATTTAAAAACTGATGTTTCATAAAAATTTTTTTCAGGAATCAGTGAAGATGAAGCGCCAATGCCTCGTGAAAAACACCATCAGATCACTGATAATGTGACAAGTATATCAACTGGACTCGAGGAAGTCACGGTACGAATCTACTTTTGTCCACAAGTGCATATTTAAGGGTTCATTTCGAGATAGTCGGATGGGCGGAAACTTACAACCACGTGCCTTCCTCATTGGTGTGATCATTTCTGCCATATTAGACCGCCACATACTTTGCGAAAGCCATTCCTGAGTAGCACGACGGCGACCGAGCGCGCCCCACAGCTAATCGTTGAAACAATGTGACCGCTAGTGCGATCAATTCTGGAAAGCTTCTCTCGGAAGCTCCAGCTGCCCAGCGAGTCGCAGCAAGTCGGGACAGGCTGCAGTCGCGCGTTTTGGCAATCGCACTTATGGCGACGTATGAACGCGCTCCTGAAGAAGGACGACATTCACTGAAAAAGGCGCGCGAATAGGTTCAGTAGGAGAACACTGCGCAAGCCAGGATTTCAGCCAGTTGCACCTAATGGCGCCTTTCGGCGTCAAATTTTAGGTTCTAGGTTCATGTCAGCTTCTAACGGACGCGCTGACGAAGGCACGTAATAAAAAATTGCAGCAGGATGTGGGCTGCTACAAGCTAGTTAGCGTGACGCTAAGGGACACTCCGCCCAATGGTTATGAGTCTCCGCCCCTCTTTCTGCTCCGGTCATCGCGAGAAATGTCTTTAAGCTTTCATTAAGGATGCTAAAGATATATTGTTTTTAGATGATGGTATCGATAATGTCTCATTTGAACAATTTGGAAGCAGAGAAGCAGAAGTATCAGGTCAGTTGGAGCGCCCTCTCTTAACTTTTAAATGAACTTAAGATAGCTTTCCCTCAGAATGATAACACGGCGCAGCGCAGTTCGGCTAGGTGCGGGCATTTTGCTGCTTGCCATTGATTGCAGGTGCCTCCTGTAGAGAACTGTCAGTTCCTCTGAAGCAGGAGCTTTGTTCACACTTGACAAGACAAGAGTCTACAAGTCACGCAACAGGAACAGGGCAAAAGAATTGAAATAAAGTGCAAAATGCTCCTCCCAGACCGAACCGCGCCGATTTTGCACCAGCAGAGTTTTCTGTTTTACTCTAGCGTATTGTCGATTATTTCAGGCTCAACGACGTCGCCTTTGCCAAGAAAATGCTTGGCTACGTGATGAGCTGAGTTCGACGCAGATCAAACTGCAAACTTCCGAACAAGTACGTGTTTAATTTTTGGAGCTTACGTAGTGTTTCCTGGTTGTATGTAGTTTTTGTTCAGCGAGTCGCCACTTTGGAGGAAGAGAATAAGCATCTCAAGTACATGAACTCAATTAAACAGTTCGACGACGACATCGTGAGTTGCACTAGTTTTTTGAGCTGATCCTGATGGCCCATTACAATGAGGTCACGTCCTGTCACTGGGGGAATTTTTAGCAGAATGCGACCCTCAGTTTTATTCCTCTGGTATAATTACCAACATTTCCCTACTTTTTTCCAGTTTTCCGAGAATTTTCCAGTTTTCCCTAAAAAGAAACTGCCGTTAGGCAACAACTGTTGCCACCAAACAACCGCTGAATTCAACTGTCGGAATGTCGGAATACTGTAGTAATTGTGTAGAACGTAGACTGCGCCGCGTAGTTCGGCTAGGTGGGGGCACTTTGCAGCAACCAACTAAAAGGGGGATACATAGTATATGTGTAAGGGTATATTGTAAGGGAAGGGGATACATAGTATATGTGGAACAGGAAAAAAAAACGCGAAAACAGCTCGAGACTTAATACCATCTCATCCCATAATGTGTGTCTCCCAACGGTATGGATTGCGAAACAGGAAAAATCAACAATCGAGAAAATTTCCTCATGCCAAATGCGACCCCCTCCCCTCCCTTAACTCCGGTGACCAAATGCGACCCAGCTGGAAATTTCTCAGCGTATAACATGCTACAATCACTGTTAGATACATAATTTTTTTAGCAAAATGACGTGAAATCTGCACCGTCTGAGGCAAATGTACCATCAACGAATGACACCCTTCAAGACCTTGGCTTTGGTCCCGAAGACGAAGAAGATCTACAGTCTAGTAAGTTTTCTCACGGGGGGGGGGGGGGGGGGGCGTTCTTGTTGAAGAAGTAGATTTCGAAACGTATGAACACGCAGTTGCAACAAAGCTATGGAGGCTCTTCAGCCCCACCCGTGGGTCTTACAATGGTAGGTAACCGATCTCGGCCTTGCTCATCCTCTGCTATGTTAGGTGCCCTCCATATCCCGGCGGTGGGTAGGGCGTGGATGCATAGTCCATTTAAATATGATAGGGATGCTTCTGGTGAGATATTCACTTGAGCCATCTTTCACTGAACCTCATGATGGAAAACGACGGATTTCAATTGTCCCGAAACTTCAATGTCCCTATCAAAAGCGCAGCGGTCGTCCCAAGTGGAGTGAGAAGCCCCGCCCTCTCCATCTCCAGGATATATAGTGCACTTTCATTCGGGAAAAAAATCCGTTTGGAGGGTGGGCGAGTTGTTCAGAGTTCGTTGAGCTGAGGGGGTTAGAGCGGCTCTGGTAGCGTAACGGATAGCGCACTCGCAAGGAGAGTAAGATGCGGGTTCGAGTTCCGCCTCAGGCCAACCTTTTCCATAGCTCAGGATTCTTATGACATACTACTCTCAGTTCTGGGTGGTGATTATGCTGTCACAAAAGGCAACTTAAAGCGTTTGGTTATTTCGCGACCCGATCGCGCGATTCAATCGCTTGCGCCATACAAGCGATCGGATCGCGAAGTATGAACGCCGTTTTGGTGAAGATCCTGTAGAATTGAGAACCAATTTCCGCTCATTCCGTTAAGCACCTTTAATTTTAGGTCAATTTGCTCAGCCTACTCCCGCTCATTCGATGGCAGCTTCAGCGTCTGTGGGCTATGAAATCCCAGCTCGACTTCGCACATTACACAATCTGGTAAAATTTCGTTTTTAATCTAACATTGCTGTGTTTCATTTGTTGTGGTGCTATGCTGCGGATCGCTTCCCCTCGCACTACTTTCCGATCGAAATAATATCCCTAAAATACAAACCTGAATTCAGTACCATATGCAGTTGACTATCTTGTTGTACGAAGTGTTATCTGTAAGTGAGGTCGTTGTTGAAGTGGAAATTTTGCAGCATTGAATGATTGTCTGTTGTTTGTCGCGGCCAATGCCACTGATTTCTTACCTAGAGTGGGGTGCACTATTTAAGTTGTTTCGCCTTCCCCCTACTTACGACTACTACCACACTATTATCCTCTTTAATTAGCGGAATTTGTGCTGATCTAAGATATTGAGGAATTCTTATAGGTGATCCAATACGCGTCACAAGGACGTTATGAAGTAGCCGTCCCTCTCTGCAAGCAGGCTCTCGAAGACCTTGAGAAAACTAGTGGTCATGATCATCCTGATGTTGCTACGATGCTGAATATTCTCGCACTTGTTTACAGGTGAATGAATTGATTTATTCTAATTTCATTTTGAATTCACGACCTTTCAGACCAAATTCACGACTTTCCAACCCAAATTCAAGACCAGGTTCAATATGAGGCACTAGGCACTGCTGCTGCCGGTAGCTCCGCCCTCTATGAGAGGCTCCCTCTTCTGAGAGGTGGCTCGAATCGGCGGGTTAGCATCTCAACTTGTAGGCTGGAGGGTCGCTAGTCACTCGGCGCAAGAAAAAAAACCTGCAGGAAACGGAACTTATCAGTTTCTTGTTTTTTTTTTCGTTCCGAGTGACGAGAGATCCTCTGTCCTACAAGATGAGTCTCCAAGCTGCCGATTTGAGGCATTTTTCGGGAGTAGGTGGAGCTTCTTATAGTAGGCGGGGCTTCCTGTAACAGTAGTGCATAGTGCCTCACATTTAATCAGGTCCTGAATTTGGTTTGGAAAGTCGTGAATTTGGTTTGAAAAGTCGTGGGTTCAAAATGAAAATGGTATAGATGCTCATGCAAGAGTGCGTTTATGTTTCACGACTGGTTGCTCGGACCGCGCGACCCGAGCGACAAATTGCGAAGTGTGAACACATTCTATTTATTACAAAAGACAACATTAGTTTCGCTTAAACTTGAGATTATCTCGTCATTATTACAGGGACCAAAACAAGTACAAAGAGGCAGCTAATCTTCTCAACGAGGCCCTTGCTATTAGGGAGAAATGTCTAGGAGAAAATCACTCCGCGGTGAGTTTACTTCTTTTTCGGGAAGTCAGTTTTCTGGAAAGAGTAACTTCGTGAAACTGGTTATCAAACTGCCAAAATAGTGGAATAGTTTGCTCGCCTGTAGTATTCGTTCGTTTCGGTTCTCGTTTTTCATGTGCCAGATTAGTTATAAGTTAAATTTGAATTAATGTTTAGGTGGCCGCTACTCTTAACAATCTGGCGGTCCTTTACGGAAAGCGTGGAAAGTTCAAGGATGCTGAACCATTGTGCAAACGTGCTCTCGAAATTAGGGAGAAGGTATGTGTAGTTCATAGAGAAACCAAAATGAAAATGGAAATTAATTGAGCCTCCTTTTTCAATCCATCCCCATTGTCATTGGTTGTTCCATTGGTTGTTAACAAAGAAGTTTTACCATCAGGTAGCCGGTCTCTCTGGGTTCCTTTGACATACCATGGAAGCCGCAAGCCCCTTGTGTTCTCAGCACGGACTTTCGAGTGGCGGAGTGTTCCATTATATGGGTATGCGGTTAGGGGAGGGGGAAGAGATTCTTCCTGCTAGGTGATTGTAGGCTGCATCTCTGGAAAAGCTGGAGCATTACAGCAATTATGTATGTAACGAAGGCGAAACTATGGCCTCAGATGACTTCAGCAGTCCTCCGCACTTCTTCTGATATTTGTTTTTTGGACCTTATCACTGTGATCTTTTTTCCACGAGCTGTTTTCTAGGTGCTTGGTCATGACAATCCTGATGTCGCTAAGCAACTGAACAATCTGGCTCTTCTCTGCCAAAATCAAGGAAAGTATGAAGAAGTTGAGCAGTACTACAAGTGAGTTGGAGTCTTTGTATTTTCGTTTCTGGAACAAAGTGATTTTGACTTTAATCTGTATCGTTTCAGGCGTGCGTTGGAAATCTACGAAAGCAAACTAGGCCCCGATGATCCCAACGTCGCAAAGACCAAAAACAACCTTTCTTCCGCGTATCTGAAACAGGGCAAGTACAAGGTATGTGCTGTTAGCTTTTCCATGTCTGTCTTATTTATTAGCAATGAGTGCTAATGAATAAATGGGACATATAAGACTTTAGTATCTTAATGGTGAAGTCACAATTAAGCTAATTAGCCCCATAGCAAAATATTTTTGCGAGAGTCGTATTTCCCCATATGTGGCTGCATTGCAGTGCAGTTGAAAACATAGAGCCATAGCTAAGGCTTCATTTTCATGTCATTAAGTGGTCCCCATAAGTCCCTTTTATGATTTCCATTTGAGCCGTGTGATATGCATTCATGTGCAGTGATGTGGTTAGTTGGCATCAATAAGAGCTAGCTCTCTCTAGCAGCGCCATTACTTTAGTATCCAGTGGCTGCAGCTGCAATGGCTGTTTTTGCTATTTTCTATGCTTTTCATGGGTAAATAAGCAACTTGTTGCTCACTAAATATTTTGCTGTTTCGAAAAAAATATCTGGATGTAAATTTTGTACTGCGTGAAGAGGTACCAGGAAGTTGCTTGCAGAAGAACTCCAGAGAGTCGAGAATAGTCAGAGGTTTCTGCAAAATGGTGTAGTTTGCGCGAACGGTTGGGGCACGATTTTGCCCTTGGCTACTTCTCGATGCGAGCCATCAAGTAAAGACTCCCGTGAAACCGATGTGAAGCCACGACAATTGATAACTAGTCAACGTTTGATAATTAGATGAGCCTGTAAACTTCTGTAAAGTCAGCTTACCTCCAGCGTCACGAGAGTTCACCAGTTCACTGGGGTCATACTGTACAAATCGGAACTAGTGAAGCCAGCGAAAAGTGCAAATTGCCCCCCTCCCCTCTCGCGGCTGAACTGCCCCCGAACAGCTGAACCACGAGACTCCCGTAAGGAGAGCTACACGTATCAGGGTGAGGCAGACTCAAGAGGGTTTGGTAGTGTAACAGCTGTTCAAACTAGCCGTTCTACTTGAGTGCGATTTCAAGTTGCTGCAGAACTGTCTGTGCACCCGAAATAGAGCAAAGAGAGCCGAATAAATCTGGCAACAATTCGACTCTATCTCCGGCAACCATCGCGGTATTCCCATTGCCACACAACCTTGGTATCGACACGGGCACAAAAAAGTCGAATCCCTAAACGAGAAGTTTTTGTGCGAGTCTTGGCGCCAGACAGCCCACTGCCCCATAAGGTACCGCCTTGTGTTCACAGGGTGAACCTCATGGCGGAGCCCGCGCTCGAGATAGCCCACGCCTTGGACCGTGAACATAATTTCATTTACATCACAGCTACAATACACTTTACAATTCTAATACTACTAAATAGACTCTCAGCAACTTCCACTTATATAACACGTTATTTACGCTCCTTGAGTGGAGTTTCATACAGTATTTGCTACTCTTGGCTCCGCCCCCAACGATCCCGCCCTCTTATTAGGGAAAGTATTGAAAAGTTTGCCATATTATAACCTAATTCAATTATTTCAGTAGACTTTTCGCAGATAAAATTTATATAGGGAGCAAATTTCAGACTAAGCACCTACTTTTAGCTTCACCCTCCCGCCCCCTTTTACACATTTTTATGTGTTTTTTTTTTGCAGAATTTGGTTGTTTGAAAGTACGACATTTGGAAAAACAACAATAATGCAAATGCAAATTGACGATGTTCAAAGGTTATTCATTTGTGCAGAATGGGTGCATGGCCGTGGAGACATTTTCTTTTCATGTCTGCAATTAAATTTAGTATTGAGCAGTCTGCGCCATTTTCAATCCAATTCAATTAGCAATGCCGATTTTGCGGCGTAGCCTTGTTGAGCATTCACGATTTGTTTACGAATGCCTTTCTAATTGACTTTGACGCACGGCACACATGTCTCCCCACCCTGTTAGCTCTTCGTGGTGATGTGCACATGTACTGATTGCTTTTGGCCAGCCCATTCCCAACTCCAGTTTTTCGAACATTCGTCGGTGCGTTTTACCTCAGCGCGCTCAGCTGGCATGTTTTACGCAGAATTTTGAAGTGATGTTTTTCTTCTCAAGTGTTTGACTTTCAGGAAGCGGAAGAGCTCTACAAACAGATCCTGACTCGAGCTCACGAGCGTGAATTTGGCAAGGTATGTGATAGCTATGTGGATGCCTATTTCGCGACCACTGGTGCGAAATAAAGGCTTTGAGCACAAACTTCTTTCTAGATCGGAGAGGACAACAAGCCAATTTGGCAGATTGCCGAAGATCGTGAAGAAATCAAGCAGAAGGGAGGAGCCGACACGGGTCCAATCGCCTACCACGATCACGGTGGCTGGCACAAAGCTGCAAAAGTGGATAGGTTGGTCCCTAGGCGAATTTCATGTTGACTATCTGAATGTGTTGAGCATCCTAATACCATTATGGCACTATTTACTCTTTACTGCCCCAATCGTCCGAAATCTGGCCAGTTTTTGACCGACCTTTTTCAATGAAGACAACTTATAGAGCTAGAGAGTGCACTCTGGGGTAGTTCGACCAACTGAACACGGATATCACATCCACTTGGCCCCAAAGTTGTTGATGTCGGTGCCAAACCCTGGAGTGGTTTGACCTCCGGAACGAATATCACATCTATAGGAGGTGTTAAGAAAGTTGAGGATGAAGAAAGGGCTCTTCCGCATCTTTCCTCTCTGAGATGGCATTCCCTTCATCTGATGAGGCTGAGCCTTAGTGAAG